ATTTTATTTTGTTAAATTTATTTGCCGCCTGTCTCATCATGGGGCTATTCTAGGAGGAGTGGAATGGATGGAAAGGGGTGGAATTATGTAAGGCAGCAAATTCAGCAAGAAAAATGGAAAAGAAAGCCTGAAAATGGGGAAGAAAGTGGGAAAATTAAGAGGGAGGGAAAATAGTTGGTTTTGATTTTAAAAATGGAAGCAAGAAACAAAGGCTCAAATAAGTTGAAAAGATGATTTTATCATCAATCAATGTGTTTAATCAATTTATATGGACGAACTCACAATCAAAACTCTGGGCCTTCAACTTATTATTTATACGGATATAGCATCAATATATCCACAAGGATGGGTACACCATCCCTATTACAATCCTGCGGACTATATCCTGCCTGAAATGAATCCAGATAATCTGTTTCTTCTAGGATGTTCTGCAGCTGCAAACCAACTATCTAAATAGGGAAGGGTGGAAACTGGATAAAGATTGTCATGAACAATTGCATCCAGTGATGGTTTTTTGAAGAGGAGGTAGAGCAGCACCTCTTTAAAAGTTGACAGAACCACCTGTGCTCCAGTCAAAGTGGTAGAAAATATATTTAAATTGCAGAGGGTTTAATTCCTTAGGACTTGGGTTTATACAAACATTATGTCATGGACAATAATGGTAAAAAGAAAAAAAAAATAAAGCTACAGAGAAGGATGGAAAGTTCCTCCACATAGATGCTGTGAAGAAATAAGAAATCAAGATTGAAAGTCACCATAAAAGAAAAATGTCATAAGGATAAACAACTGACAACATTTTCAGAAAGCATCATGCATGGATTCTACTAAGCTACCTGCTAGATTTTCAATGCCCAGAAGTCAGGAAGAAGCTCATGAAAGCGCAAACATTTTAATAAAATGTGTTAGTCTGAAAAGGTGCCTCCAAATGCCTATTTTTAGATACAACTAACATCATGTCCTCCGACAATGTCTACAATGTCCAGAAGGTGGCAGAATACCCAGGCAACATCCTTCAGACAGGTTATATTTTCTCTTGAGCTTTGGCAACTCACCTGAAAGAAACATACTATACAACATGAAGAGCCGTATGCTCAGTGGCCAGTTTTAAATTCTGTTTGACAAGCAGATCTCAACTGGGGCTACTGCTTCTATTTACCAGTGCTTCCCAATTTTGGGGGAATTTTTTTTTCCTTCATAACTGCTTATGAAAAATTCCTTTTTACCACATCAGAAAGTCCTTACAGTATTTAAATGTCCCTGGATAGGGAGTTCATGTGTCATTACCCAAAGAAAAAACACTTTAATCCAATTTGGGATAATTTACCCAGATTTGGGAAGCACTGATTTCCACTGCATTATGATTCTCCTGTCATTTCTGTATGCAAAATTGATGCCCAATGAGGATAAAAAGAGGCCAGGCTATATCAATCAGTTAATAATCCTACTCATATAATGACCCAATGTCAGCTATTAAGCCAGAAACCATAATTCTGTACTTATGCAAACAAATTTTCATGTTGAGGAATATTACCTTTTAATTTTTGCTAGTAATAGGCAGAACAACCAATTTCTCATGTCAGAAATCATGGCTCTTTGAACAGGAGGCCTTTCAGTATAGGCAGAGCGTATTTCAGTTGAGAACAATAAATGCCTTTGCTTTAATGGGTAATAATGGAGAATTACTGCTTTATACCAGTATGTAATGATAAAATCTTCTGTATGTTGTTATGTATCACATTTGGTGTTTATTACAGGCTGAATTCACATTATACACTAAATCAGACTGAGAAGTTTGAGCTTTAATGTGTTGTTAGAACCTGTTGATTATCTTAGTACAGTAATGGCGAACCTTTTAGAGACTGAGTGCCCAAACTGCAACCCAAAACCCACTTATGCATCGTCGAGTGCCGGGTGGGTGTGGCCAATTGGATGGGTGTGGCCCATTGGGTGGGCATGGCTGTGGTGGTAACGGCAGACTGGGTGGGACTAAAAAGTTCAATCAATCAATTCCAACTTTGCAAGATCTTTTTTTTTCCCCGCAAGAAGTTGAAATTGACTGATTGAACCTCTTTTTTTTGCACACGACGGCAGAGGCCTAAAACGAAAAGGTTTTATAAAACCCAGCTAAAGGCCTAGGATGGGGCGACGGCGCGTGTGCCCACAGAGAGGGCTCTGAGTGCTGCCTCTGGCACCCGTGCCATAGGTTCACCACCACTGTCTTAGCATGTTGTGTTAACAAGGCTACCACACTAAGTGATAAAATGGTTTATTAGTTTGGATAGAAAATGTTCCCTATGTTTTTTTAAAATTGGGTGCAGCAAATACAATCACCGTGTAATTATTCTCACATATTTTCTTTATAACTCTGTACAACCTAAGATTAAACTCAATCATATACAGTGATAAATGGTACTTTTGTGTAATGTAATTTGAACTATTTATGTACGTTCAGCAAAATCTAAAAATGCATCAGTAGCTTTCATCTAACACTCTCAAGCAAAACCATGTTTAGAACTTGCTTAAGAAGCAGTTCACAAAAGCTTTTGATAGCAATGTATAGTTGGAATAGCAGACTATGCAACCCCAGCCCAGTGATGAATAAATCATAACTTTATATCAGTCTGTTGGAATTTTCTCAGTGAATCATACTCAAACCATGGCTTAACATGTGTGAACATAGTCATGCACTCCATCATATTTTCAGAACTTTAAAAATGGATCATAATATCATGTAAGAATCCCATAAATAAACAAGGCATAGCAAGAGGAAGGCAGTAACTTCATTCCACCTACAATCTATTGGATTTTGATGGAGGGCTCCTTGGAAATCTAAGATCTGGTATTTTTTGTGTTTCTTGTTGCATTAATAACTCCTGTTTTCCCAGAAGCTAAAAGCGACGTACCTAACACATTCTTTTTAGCTTTGTCCTCTCAATATCCTGAGGAGATAGTTTGTTCATTAACTCTCACCCTCATCTGATCAGCAACAGTAATTTATACAACATCATCTTAGTCAAATTATAATCCCATTTTGGGTTCCCATAAAACATTGAACCACAAAGTAACCAAGTAGACAGGGTTGCTGTAACAGGCTAAAGAAAAGAAGTGGTAAAATAATTAAAACTAAAATTAATATGCTGTCCAAATGCAGCTGCTAAATTTGTAATTGACCTGATTAAATGTGTTCTGTGACCACAATTGCAGAGTTTCACACCTGACTAGGAATTTGAATCTGGTCTCCTCAGTCCTATTCCCATAGGATGAATTTACATATTATATTAAGCTATAGCTTGTTACACTATGGCACACTGAACAAACTACAAATGATGAAATACATTTAATACACTCAGCCATAAATCAGTGCTTTCAACAGTAGCTGGGTTCATGATATCCTAACTCACAAGCAAACTTGACATACAATGACTTGCTCAGATTCCCATTAATCCATAGAATTTAGCTAAGGTTTATTCAACTGACCTACTTTTAATGGCTTGCTTAATATACTAAAACATAAATGTAATTACATAGGCAAGTTTTGTACACAAGGTAAGTTTAACTGTGATTGGAATGTTTCTGATTCAATGTCTTATTTCAACAGCAATTGGAATTGTAGATTAGAGTTTTTTTAACATGATTATTTTTGTGTTTATTATTCTTGCTCTACATTGCCCATGGTTACATTGTTTGAGCTGGTTGGCTTGTTAAATCCAATAAATAAATAAATCAGAAGATACTCATTTTCAGGACAGCAATAAAACCAACACATAACCTGAACACAGAAACTCAGTAAAAGATTCATAAACCTACTTATCCTTCTGCAACTCTAAGGAGTATGATGATCCTTAGATTTCAGCTTATAAAGGAAGAAGAATAGAGTACAATAACAAGGAAGATATTTTTATAAGGACTTTGAATTGTGGGGTGGGAGATTCTAGGATTCTGGTTTGCTGTCCTAGGGAAATAAGGAAAATCAGATTTGTTAAGAAATTCTGTGTCCCTGGGGCATTTGGAAAACAACACTGTCTCTGTTAGCAGGTGGAAGAACATGAATGGGATTAGTCTCCCATGATCCAATTATAACTGTTATAATTCCTTTACAGTATTTGCCTTACTCAATTGCACAGGGCTGGATCTTCCCTGCCTCTAATAATTTCATTCTGCCTTTGTTAATGTTGAGCAAACCATTTTTTCCCAGCAAGGAAAGAGGGGGGGGGAAATAGTTGTTTAGAGGGGGAAATAGTTCATTTGAATCTAACAGAGCTATTAAAATAGGGAACTGTACCTGGTCCCTGTCAGGTTGGCCAATTCCCATCTCATTTCAACCTTAAGAATTCACAAGTCTAAAGATGCTGAAATGCTTTTAGAACTAACTTTTGTTGTTAGGATCCTTGTTTGAAACCCACCTGTAATTTGCACAGCACGAATGGAAATACAGGGGCTTTCCTTCAGAAAACCATTATGGAACTGCAACCCTTTTCAATTTTATGTTTAATGGGAAGCTCCAGTTTCAATCCAGTATAGCTTGCTCCGAAATAAGCCTTATTGCACTAAGTAGGACTGGGAATAAACATGCATCAGGTCCAGCCATACATCTTAGTCCACTGTGCATCTCTGAGCATGTTTAGAGTGCATAGGGAAAAAAGATTACAGTACAAGTTGTCCTCAACTTACCACCACAATTGAGTCCAAAATGCTAAGTGAGGCAGTTGTTAAGTGAATTTTGCCCCATTTTACGACCTTTCTTGCCACACTTGTTAAATGAATCACTGCAATTGTTAAGTAACACGGTTGTTAAGTGAATTTGGCTTCTCTATTGACTCTGCTTATCAGAGACTCAAAAGGTGATGACATGATCCTGAGCTATTGCAACCGTCATAAATATGAGTCAGTTGCCAAGTGTCTGAATTTTGATCGCAGTGACCATGGGGATGCTGCAACGGTCGTTAAGTGTGAAAAATGGTCATAAGTTATTTTTTCCAATGCTGTTGTAATTTCAAACGGTCACTAAATGAACTGTTGTAAGTCAAGGACTACTTGTATTAATGTTCAGGTGGGAATTATCCATCGCCGAGCAAATGCAACGACTGTGCACGTCAGAGTCCGTCAAGAGCACGTGGAATGAATTAGGATCCTCCTGCCCCCCACCAACACCGTCGCCGCTTGCAGCCCCGTCGAGTGGGTGGGGAAGGAGGGGCCGCTGCCTCCGACGCGCCAGCTCCAGCGCATGTGCCGCCTCCCGCCCCCTCTCCGCTCCTCCCCTGATCGCCCGCCCGGTGCCGGAGAGGCTAGGAGCGCAACCCAGGAGAAGCGACCGCGATGAAGGACCGGACGCAGGAGCTGCGTACGGTGAGTAATTCGGACCGAATGATTAGAGGCTGGAAGGTCTCCCCGCTGGCGGGAGAGGGAGAAGGCGATGGCGATGGCGAGGCGGCCAGACGGCGAGTCGTGCGCGGCAACAGGAGGTTCTCCGCCTTCCTTGGTCTCCGACAGCTGCTTTTCTTCGGAATCCGGAGGGACGCCCGGTCCATGGAAAAAGCTCGGAGGAGGACGGGCGGGGAAGGCGGCAGTGGCTACCTTCTCCTTTTTCTGAAGCTGGGTGCGCCTGTATCTATCTGGGGGGGGGGGGCGAGAGAGGGATGCTCTTCTTTCCCCTATTGGCGTGAGGGGCAGAGATATGGGGTCAAAAGGGTGGTGGGCTTCCTTCCACCTCAGTATCTTTTCAGCGAGCGCCCCTGTCTGTGTGGCGCGGGAAGCGGGGGCGGGAAAGTCTTTCGCAGGCGGTGGGGTGAGTTGCAAAGAGGAGGATAGATCACGAATGGATGGATGGAGCAAAGGAAGACCTGGAACTGAAAGTGTGGGTTTCTGGTGTATAAATTAGTGGTGGAATGGTGATCCATGGCCTGGATTCACCTAGCCTTAACAACTGCAAAGTAGCCTACCATACTGTGTTAACCTAGCCAGTGTGGCTGATTTAGGGGCTATGTGTAACGAGAACCCTGAAAAATTAGGCAGAAACGAGGTTCACTTAACGATGGCTGTCATATGAACACAGTTATAGAGAGAAGTGAGATGAAGCAAGGGACAGGATCCACTAAATTGAGAGTTGAACAACTGAAAGGATGTAAGAATGAAGGGAGTTTGGGGAAAAGACACTTCGGTTTTACAAGAAGATCTCGACTTACAACCATTCGTTTAGTAATTGTTTCAGAGTTATAACAGTGCTGCTGTTGCAACAGCACTGAAAAAAGTGATTTACTGTCTTGTACTTACAACTCCCATGGTCATGTAATCAAAATACGTGTGCTTGAAGACTGGCATATATTTACAATGGTTGCAGCAACCTGGGATCACGGAATCACCATTTATGATTTTCCCAGGTGGCTTCCAACAAGCAAAGTCATTGGGGAGGCCAGATTCATTTAACAGCTGTGTGATTCAGTTAACGACTGCAGATACAGCAGACCATGTGTGCTATCAAAACTGGACAAAAGGCATGTGTTCTCTCCCAGGAAACCTGTTTTATTATCTTTATTTTGTTCTAACCTTATTCTCTTGAAAATCCTGTATGACTTAATAGAGGATTGGAAGACATAGACATACATGCAATATTACTATTGTACATTTATGCAGATAACTAGGAATAGATTGTTAATTTCACTGCTGATTAGACCAAGCATGGCTTAAATCATGAAATTACTTTGTTAACAGGCAGTCTAGGAGATTGATTTATTCATAAATCTAATGGGTTGATTAATAAAAATTATGTAACTTTTGGAATGAAGGGGGGATACATATTGGAATGTTATTTTTGATTGGATAATGATAAAGATAAATTGTTATGTGATTGCTACATTTCTGCTTGCTACCTGAGTGAGTTGGTGCCTTTTGATGTTTGGTTATGTAACAAAGCCTACTTGCACATAGAAGGTGCTTCTATCTAAGTGAGGAAACATAATTATGGAATGAAATGTGGAATATTCAATCTGGAAAAAAAGAAATGAAGGCAGAGATGATAATTGGGCTCAGGATCAAGAAGGGAAGTAACAGGAAGGAATGTCAAGAACTGTTTTTCATGGCTACAGAAACTAGAATCAGAAGTAACAGGTGTGAGGTGCATTTACCTAGATCAGTGGTTCTCAACCTTTTTAATGCCGCGATCCCCAACTGGTCGTAAGTCGAGGACTACTCAACCGGTCGTAAGTCGAGGACTACTCAACTGGTGCAGCACCGTTTGCAGAATGGGACTTTTGGCGGGCTCAGCAGGGCAGAGACAGCCTGGACAATTCCTATTGGCTTTTGAAAGCCAATAGAATTAGACTCTATTCAAGAGAGTCTATTCTATTGGCTTTCAAAAGCCAATAGAATAAAAGGGAGTAGCACAGCTAAGGAAAAGGGGGGAAAAAATGGCGGACTGCGTTGTTTGGCGACCTCCGTGAAATGATCGTTTGACCCCAAATGGGGTCCCGACCCACAGGTTGAGAACCACTGACCTAGATTTTGTTTAAATATAAGGAAAATGTTTCTGGTAAGATCTATACAACAGTAAAACAGTCTACCTATAGAGCACGGGTGTTAAACTCGATCGCATCATGTGATATATCGTGACATATCGTGACTTTTTTGCCTTTGCGGAGCCGGGGTGGGCGTGGCCTGTGCGTGATGCATCCAGACCACGGGCTGCCAGTTTGACACCCCTGCTATAGAGGTTGAACTGTCAGGAGTATAGCATATACTGTAGCATATGTCCACAACTCTTTAAACATAGAACATAAAATAATAGGGTTGAAAGGGACCTTAGAGGTCTTCTAATTAACACTCCGCTCAAACATGAGACTTTATACCATTCCGGACAAATGGCTGTACAGTCTCTTCTTGAAAACTTCCAGTGATGGAGTACCCATAATTTCAGGCTGTAAGCCATTCCACTAATTAACTGTTTTCGCTGTCAGGAAATTTCTCCATAGTTCTACATTGGAGCTATCTTTAATGATCATCCAAAGCAGTTGCATCATTTCCTAGGATCATGTAATAGCTTTAGAGCAGGGATGTCAAACTCGCAACGTCACGTGACTTTTTTTCCATTGCCAGCAATGGGTTGGACTCGGTTTCAGCATGACGCACCCGGTCAGTGGGCCAGCAGTTTGACACCCCTGCTTTAAAGGGCAGCCACATGATATAGAGCAGGGGTCTTCAAGGCACTCTGGCTGAGGAATTCTGGGAGTTGAAGTCCACAATTCATAAAAAGTTTGAAGACCCCTGATGTAGGAGGAAAATGTGGTTCCTTTAAAGAGTTACAGACTGATTTCATATCAGATACTGAAGCACATATTTGGAATTAAATCCAGAGTGCTTCTGGGTCCGGAATATGCGCTCTAGCTCTGGAGAGGTGCCATATAAAATCCAAGAAGCTGTTAGAAGAAATCTTCCTTCAAATAATGGAAATTTTCCCAGATTAGTACAAAACCCCTATAAATTTGGCAAAAGCAATATAAACAGTAAAGATACAAGATAATATACTGACAGCTGTATACAAAAGGTAGTTAAGACAATTAAAAAAATCCATTTAATTACATTTGAAAAAAGAATCTGACTAACCTGAGGCTGTAAAAGTGGAAATTGCAGAAAACATTAAGGAATCATTCATTCCTGGCTTTGCTGCTGAGAATGTACAAGAGATCCCTGTATGGCAGTTCAACAGAGGCAACAACAGATGAGATTATATATAAAATGGCAAATTAAAAATAATTCTCTGCTTCAGAATGCAAATATGAAACTGCTGACTTGAAACATATGCAACTTATAGAAAAAAATTGTTATGTTTTGACTGGAAAATAAACAGATAAGCACCAGTTTGTGTAGTGGTTAAGGCCTCAAGCTAGAAACAGGAAGACCATGAGTTCTAATCCTGCCTTGGGGAACAATGTGAACTGGGTGACTTTGAGGCAGTCGCTCTCTCTCAGTTCTAGGAAGGGGGCCATAGGAAACCACTTCCAAAAAGTCTTGCCAGAAAACTACACAGATTTGTGTGCCATAAAATCAAAATCAACTTTTTGGTCAAGATTTTTCTGGACATGCTGGCAACTATTCTGTGAATTAGCCCCTTTAGCAGCCATTTTGTAAATGTGTCCATCAACTTAATAAGAACTGTACCTCAAGTAATGCCTTTGACTTGGCTTGATTATTAAGAGGTTTCTAAAAATTTTATGCAAGCAGAAAAGAGGAGGCTATGATTTTACAAATCAAAATGGTCTTCATGGGATTGGAGCAAGTAGTTTTCCATGTAGTTTGCAGTATTATAGAAATATTTTGCTATTGCCTTCTTCCAGGATGAGTGTCCAATAGCTCCCTCCAGATATTGATCAAAACTGATCTTGTCTGTCTTTGCTGTAAACAAAGTCTAAGTAAGCACAGTTGGCTGGGTCTGCATGATATGCTGCTGCAGTCTGTGGTCCTCCAGATCATGCTGAAATATAATCAAGTTGGTGGAGCAAATAATGAGGAATCCTGAATTCATCAACATTTGGAGAGCCATGGATTGCTTTCTCCCTTGCTAAGCCACAAACTACTTTATAACCCCTGGCTACATGTCCCTACAAAACAGATTTTGAATTAGCACAACCTATGACTGCAGCTTGCTATTGTAAATAATGTAGCATTATTCTTCAGATTTTATTTTAACAAGTTGCTTGTTTTCAGTAAGAAACCCTGACTTTTGAAAGGAAGCAGCTGAATAGGATCTGGCTTCCCTGCCCCCATCCCATCTGCTACACAAGCCAATAAAGCCAAGCATCTGTTTATTTATTAAATTTATATGCTGCCTGCCTCACAGTTCACATGTGTACATTGAATATCTAGAACCCTTTTGATATTTTTCCACAAGTTCTGTGGCCTGGGCAACTTTATTTTTGTCTGGTAAACATAGGCATTATCATGTGAATGTCTATAGCAGGGGTGTCAAACTCAATTTCATTGGGGGCCGCATCAGCATTGCGGTTGTCCTCGGGGGACTGGGTAGGTGTGGCCAGGGTGGGCACGGCCTACTGGGTGGGTGTGGCTGGAGTGGGTGTGGCCTACTGGGTGGGCGTGGCCAGCTCTTCATCGTTCGCATCAAGGGTGCCTGTGGGCCTGGGCAGGAGTGGACAGATCTGAGGGTCTCTGGCAGAAGGTGAGGGCCATTTGCTGGCCACTTTCAGGCGATGGTGCATTTCTTCAGTCCTCACAAAGGGTGATACCTCCCCAACGTGCGCCCAGGGGCCGGTCCCTTGCTGTTTCCAAATGGCCTTGTGGAGCTAAGACTGAATGTATTTCAGCATAGATGGCCACCACAAAATTGTACATTGGCTCCT